CACACTAAGATAATAGATGTCAGCTCCAACAGTAAAATAGTTTTGTTCATGTTTTCATGGAGGTGCTGAGGATACTTGATCTAAATTTTCTCAGGTGTTTGTCCCATTCTTGGCATTTCTAATATCTAGCTGTTGAATAGGAGTTCAGTGTTTTCCAAAGTCTTTTACCCTTCTCACATTGAAAATATTATATAGCACTATTTCAAGTTCTGGCTCAGCTTTTCAGCTTAGACTCTAAAGCCAGAGAACCACACAACTGGCATCAGGAATGCTGCACTGGTAGTGAATTACAGCTAGCTCCAAGAAAGAAGGCAAATGACTTACTAAACAGCTCTCCTCTAAAAGCAACCGCCTGCCCCTAATGAAGAGTTCTTCAACTGTAAGGTTCAGAATGTGCATTTCATCCAAAGAAACCTTACTGGGAAGTGCCAGTGCAAGCAAAGGAGAGGAACATGACACTGACAGCCAAAGACAAGCAGCTTTTCCTATTTAGAAAAGAAGCCAGTGACTGGCCAAATGAAGGAGAGAAGTAATATCCAAAAGGTCTCAGACTAACAAAAATTTCTGTTTGAATTCAGTTAGAAAAGAGAGACTCATCATTTATTCAGCTATACACTAAAGAAGAACCAAACAGCTAAAACAGCACTTCCCAGTGGTGTGTTTTATTCCAGTTCATGGAGGGAGCAGCTCTGCTCTGGAATACAAGAACACCAAGGTAAATTGGATTGATCAACCCTGACTCCTGAGATGATATCTGAAGATGCAACTGCAACCATCTCTTTATCCCCAGCTCAGTGACAAAGCTGTACTGCTCCACAAAGACAACCACCAGCTATGCAGGACAACCAGCTGTTTGCTTTAAGCACCTTTAGCTCTTCCAAGTAAAAGAAGGAGGCTGCCAAGTGTCCCCTCTGGTATGACCTCAGCAGCCCTGCCCGAGCACAGGCAGCAGGTAACGAGAGGCACCGGCAGTCAGGGGGTCTCTCCTGTCAGATGAGGAAGTGCTTGTGGAACAGGATGACCCTTCACAAACAAAAAACACAACAGCAGTCTCAAATGAAGAACAAAGTTGTTCAGTGACAGTGGAAGGTGAGCTGTCTGCTTTTATTGATTTGTGTTTGTGCTACAGAGTAACTGCTTCATGTGGGTAAGGCTGAACAGCAAAGGTTGTGATGGTTTGCACAAGGAGGTAAATCAGAAGGCAAGTGTGACACTCTGACAGGAATCTTTGAAAAGGGAAGTCATTTGACATGATCAGCAACCATCTGAAGAGCATTTGCAGAGATTTTAAGGTACCTGTTGCTGTATTATTCAAATTACTTCAACAAAAAAGCTTAAAAAGATCAGTTTCTTAGCCCCAGCATCGGGACTATACCACAATGAAGCCAATTTTGAAGTAAAAGGAGGACATTTTATCACTTCTTTTTTATATAATCCCTTGGTAAGATTTCACCTCCCAAGAAAAATAGTAAGCAAGGTGATATTCAAAGATACACTCATATTTCTTTTACTTACAACTTTTACTCCCATCATTCAGAAACTAGAAATAGCTTCCCCCTCGCCCCCTTTTTACAGCTCAAAGCCTTTTGACTGAAAAGGAGAAAGCCACTCCATTCCTTCCCAAAATAGCCACAAGATTAAATTTAATTGCTGCTTTACTACACGAAGGACTCTCAAATGCAGAAATATTACTACCATGTTTCTTTAAAAATTCATTAATGTCCTTCTCACCCTACAATTACATAAAGGGCAATAAGGAAACTACAGTATTTGGTGTCCTGTATCACATGTAGAATATGTGAGCAGATCAAAGTGGCTCATTTTCATCAGATTAAGTTTTCTGAATAGCTTAATTCTCACCTCCTTTCTTCATTCATCCACTAAGCACAATGCCCTAAGTCTTCTTAAAGATTCCACTGAGGATAAAATTCTCTTCCACCACCCAGAGAAACTTCACCATAAAGACTTTTACATTTTTGTATTATAGAAGGATTTTCAAATACAGTCATTAGCTTTTTTCCCCCCACAAATTCACTAAAAACTATGGGTGCGTGATGAGTATTTGAATTTGGACTGCCTGTACACTTTTGAAGCAATTCTCCAAATTATAGCCACTTACTGCTTTTTGGTTCCATTGTTTAGCACCAGAGCTAAAGGGAGGTTCCCTTCTGGACCAGGCTACATTGAAGAGAAGCTGCAAGAGCAAACCTGCTGCACTCCCCACTGCAATCCAAGCACACCCAGCATTCAGTGCAGACCTCACCAGAGGTGCAGTGCACGTGTCAGACCCTCAGGGTCAACTCTTCCACTCCACACACACCCTTCCAGAGGCCCACACAACTTGCCAGTGTATTAGTAGATCAAACCTAAAGTTGGTTTCATAAAGCTGGGCAATTGAATTTATATCAGCAACAAAAGGAATCTTCAAGGAATTAAGTGTTAAGTACTATTGAACTTCAGCTGCACTTTCAGCTGATCCTTCTAAAAGGGACATAGGCAGCCACAGTCAGAAGACCACTGCTGATGAGACAACTCAGCAAAAACACCTTTAGATAGAAAATGAGCCTGGCTCTTAAGTTCAAGTGTTTGACAAACCCAAGATCTAGTCAAAAATTATGGTTCTAGATTTCCAAAGTCATTCATTCAGTTAAGTTCCGTTAAAAGTAGCCCAAGAAGCAAAACTTCTAAAATAACTTTGGAATGCACAAACATATTTTTTTATTCTTATCCTGGTCACTTAATATCTCTGCATGCAATTAGATTGACTAAGGACTTTTATTCTCCTCCATGCCCAGATGCATCCTATACTAGACAGGAAGACCTAATCTGTCCAGTTCTGAGTATTACAATTCCATGTAAAATCACACAGCAGTGTACAGACATAAATGTACAAATATATAGTCACTTTTGGTAAAAAAAAAACAGTGTCAAAGAACAACTAAATGAAGCATATATAAACCCATAAAAATGTAGGCCTGGGTTTCACATGTGCAGTGAGGTCCAGGCATTCCTCAGCCCTTCTCTGGCCACCAGTGCTGCAGCACTCGTGTGTTCAGACCCAGGCTGGGCAGGCCCAGGGAATCCCTGCCCACCTCCCAGGGGGGTCAGTGCTCCTGACCCCACCTCCACAGGGCTGGACCACCTCTGGAATCACTGCCCACCTCCCAGGGGAGTCAGTGCTCCTGATCCCTGGAGCTGGACAACTTCTGGGATGACACAGGGCACAGCAGGCACACAACACTCCCAGGGAATCACCACTGCCCACCTCCCAGGGGGGTCAGTGCTCCTGGCCCCATCTCCACAGGGCTGGACCACCTCTGGGATGACACGGGCACAGCAGGCACATAACACTCCCAGGAACAGGCTGCATTGCCCCAGAGAATGTCACTGCTGCCAAAGGAGTGTATTTTCCAAGTTTTGTTAGGAAAAAAACGGTGTTGCTTTACAGAAGTCAGGCCACACAGTGGACTGTGTATTGGCTTTTAGATTTGTCTGGATTAATTAACTATAGACAACTATTAGTAATACCATCATTGGTCACTGGAAGGTAGTTTACATGGGATACTATAGCCTACAACAAAAATAAATACTCCTGGATATTTTATTACCCCTTAGCATATGCTTATTCAAAAATAAATATTTTCTGTCCTTCTTTTGTTTCATTCTGAAGTGTTTTAGGAAGTCTTTCATAATACATTTCACAACAAATTTGTATTTGCACATTTCAGCTAAAAAGATGTAAAGAATTAAAGTTTATTTACTTTCAATACATTTTGTTTGTGTAATTACATTTGAAATAAAAAGTCACAGCCCACATTTACATAAACTATTTTAAAAGTTCACATTAAATATAAATATTTGTGAAGTTTGAAATAAAGTCAAGTAAGTACTTTTGTGGAACCATTTGCCCAAACACCTTAAACAAGACTTTCCTAGTTTGCTAAGCCAGTTTTTAATCACAGTAATCCTTTGTGGGAACAGAGCAAATACTTCATTTTGATGTATTTAAAACTCTCTGTCCATTGTCTAACTACTTAAATTTTAGAAGCCAATTAGGAACCTAAAAGGAAGGTATGGTATTATTTCTTTTCCTCCAATTTAAATAATCAAAAAGAAGATTAAATTTTCCCAAGCCTCAACTTTAAAGGATATAGTAACCAGAACTATTCAAATATTTCACTAGTCACAGGGGAAAAAACCAAACCTTCACTTTTGTTTAATAATTAGCTTAAATATAAAACATGTTTCAACCAGCTTTTACTTTTAAGAAGCTTATATATTTTAATGGGATTCCAATTTCCTTCCACATACAGAAATGACTTTCAGAATATTCTAAGCTGTTGGAATGAAAGCTGTTGGGCAGCCAGTGCTGTGAGTTATAAAGGAGACCCAAAGGTGATGTGTGTCCCCCCTGGGCTGTCACAGCCCATGTACAGTGCTGTGAGTTACAAAGAGCAGACCCCAAGCTGATGTGTGTCTGTCCCAGCTGGGTGTACAGACCCCAAGCTGATGTGTGTCTGTCCCAGCTGGGTGTACAGACCCCAAGCTGATGTGTGTCTGTCCCAGCTGGGTGTACAGACCCCAAGCTGATGTGTGTCCCCTGGGCTGGCACACCCCATGCACAGACAGGCAATGCCCCCTCAGCTCCCAGCACTCCACCGAGGCAGAGGGAACACACAGGACAATCATCTACTAATGACTCCTAATTTACAGTCTGCTCAAAGTGCACCAGTCTAATTAGAGACTTTGCAAAATACCTTTACAAGATGCATCTCTGCTTGTTTTAATAAATCTGATAATACATTATTAGACATGACTTTATTAACTGCTTTTCTGCTTAGGATTAAATTATTCATGGTGAGTTGTTCTGTCCTCCTGTATTCAGTCAACTAAGTACTATAATAAACTAGAGGTTTTTCCTGTTTTGCCCCTAAAAATGAAATGCATCCCTAAAAGGGGCAAAGTTAATAATATAGCAAAATGCCACATGGTCAACTTACCACTGCCACAGCATCACTAGAAAGAACAGCTTGAGCATCCAGCACTGTATAGTAAGCTATATTGGTCATAATATAGATAATAGTCACAACTGGCATAGACACTGCAATAGCCAGAGGTAAGTTCCTGGAAGACAAAAAAACCCCAAACCCCACAAGAGCAGAAAAAAAATCCATTAATAACAGAATAAACTTAATTTATTTGTATCCTTTACAAAAGACAGAAGAGTTATGAAGCCAGAATACAGATTTCAAAAAAGGTATCTCTGGAACCAGGGTTTGGTTTCTTTTAAAACTAGAAATTCTAATACAGAATACTGGAAAAAAAAATCTAATTTTTACAATAACTTAAAGCCTAAATTATGTGTAAAAACTGATCCTATGCAACTGTTCTTCAAATACTCCAACTTCAATGTTTCCAGATCTGTAATAACAGCCTTCACATTTACATGCTTTAAATTATTTCCTGCTGGCCATGTTAATGACCACAACCAGAACCCAGAGAGGCAGAGCACTGAGTCACTGCACTCCTTCTCCCTGGGAAATGCAGCTGTTCTTCTACCACCTGCTTCTAGGACTGATGGAGGGAGATCTATTAAAGCAAACCAAAGCCCTGATCTTCCATCTCCCCCACCATGCAGAGAACAAACAACAGCTGCATAACTGCAGAGAACAGAGGTGCAGATCCAGAACTGCCACACAGCTGGGAGCTCAGGATGTGGGGTATCTCACTAGCAAGCACAGGTCTAGAAAGCAATAGGAAAAAGAGTCAAGAGTAATAAGGAAACACTGCTAACCATTAGATGTAAACAGATAAGATTTAATTGTGAGATAAACTCACAGTGTTGAGTCTGCAGCTCCAAAGAACAAAACCAGAGAGCAAAAGCAAATTTCTGATGGTAGGCTTTGGCTTTTCTCAGCCTTATTCTTTCCTCAAACCTTGCAGGGATATTCAAAGGTTTCAAAAAGGGAAGCAGAACTGAGAGTGTCACTCTCACACTTGGCCAGTATGAAATCAAACACAGCATGGTGACATCAGTGAGCATCTGCCAGGAACACTGTTTTCAGTAGCAACAACAAAAACAATGAAACCCCAACAAAGCATAAAAATTATCAGTCTGACTAAAACTTTGGAAGCTTCCTCAAAAACTTCCTGAGGCCCAGAAGTCCAGCTGTGTCTCTGTGATGCTGTAGAAGCAGAAAAACAAACATACACCACAGTACTCCATATAAATCAGTAAATTAGTAACTGGGAGTTCTGCTTCCAGGTTGCACACTCACAGTAAGAGAGCCATGGACCTCAGCACAGAGAAGAAACAGAACTAGAAAATCACTCAGAAATTAACTCAGAAATGTTACATAAAGTAACAAAAAGCTGAAATGGTATTTTAAGGACTTTGCATCATCCAAGATTAAAAGCCAAGCACCTGTGTCAAACTTAACTTGTGGATGGCAACTTCTGAGTGGACAAGCACAAGGGCACTACGAGTCAAGTGAATGTGAAAAATATGTAATTGTTGCAGTGATTTGACAGAAGTCTGGAATCCCTCCTTATTGCCCAGAACTGTCCATGCAGAAAGCTGAAATGGGCAGTTCACTTTAACAACTACAATTCTACCAAGAACAAAGCTTGTATTAGGCACTGAAGCCTAAAGAGAGCAAATGACTATGATGAAATTTTTATCAGCTGCACACCCTGTGAGAAAATCAGAATGACCACACTGATAAACAGAGCACAGACTACAATCAGGTACCTGTTCCACTGCAATATTGACAACTGCTGTAATAAACAGCAGCAACATCTTGAACTGAAAGCTTAACAAGCACTGAATACAGCATCCACCAGTCATCTAGATGTATTTATTCTTACCTTTTCTTTCTTTCCCATTTTTAATGGAGTTTAGGAAATCTTTGTTAGTGGTTGTTCACAGCCTCACCATCTAAGTATCCAGTAGTTCTACTTATTTCTGTATAAGCTCAGAACCCATTAGTGAATGACAGCCACAAACAAAGCAACTTAGGAAGTATCTGGTTTTAGAAAGCTTGAATCAATTTACCTTTCTGGGTTTTTGATTTCTTCTGTTACAAAATTGAGCGTATCCCAACCAGAGTAAGAGAACAAGGCAGAATATAGTGCAAGGGAGATGTCTCCAATATTAGAAGAGGATCCCTCAAAAGAGTTCTCAAAGTGTGATGTATGCCCTGTGTGGGGAAGAGATGCAATGAAGGACAGCATAATTAAAATACAGCAAATAATGTTTTTCAATTTGTCACACAAAAAAACCTTAGAAACCCTAATTCCTTCAAATCTGCTTATTAAGATCTTTCTTCCAGTTCTTCTCTGTGCTTTAGCCATGAAAATAAGCATTTAAAACTACTAAAAATTATGGCATGTGGATGATACAATTAAACACCCAGTTTGTCCACAATGGCACAAGTTCAGGAATATTAAGTTCAGACTAAGCTACAAACAACTGGCAACAACAGTACTCAGGCTAAGAGTATTTTTTATAACATGTGTATTTATAAGATAATCCACTCTAGTCTTCTATATTCTTTTAAATTTTCAAACATTTTGGCTATGCAGAAAACAAAGCTTACAGGTGTTTTCAGATAACTATGACAAATAACCCCATGCAAACATCTAAGTGGATGCTTAAGTTTTTGCTATTAAAAACTGAATACTGAGAAAAATTAACAGAACTTTAAATATCACTGTTACTTGAGACAAAATTTTCCCAAGCTAAGAGGAAGAGTTATGGTTTTTGCACCAGTATTTGTGAAAACTTGTGCCATCTTTTGACTTTAGGTAACTCAAGTTCATCAATCACAGTTTATACATTCAGACTGTTTTACACAAACAGACACATGCAAACTCACCAAATACAGAAAGTTACTGTGTAAGCCAATATTTGGGGCCTCTCAAATATCTTTATTTATTTCTCTTCCCTACTTTTCATCCTGTGCTGAGGATGAAACACTTCCCAGGGGGCTCACATTCTGCATGTCCTTGATCCATTCACAATAATTACCTTGCTCTTGAACTCTCAACAATAACCAGTTAGAGCAAAGGACATAAACTGCCAGACTGCAGGAAAGACAAGCCTTTATGGCAGCAGGGTCAGTTTTTTAAGCTAACACACCAATAAATTCTCCCCAAAGGAAGGGTTGAGAACAAAACTAAGTTCAGAATTTCTCTAACTTAAAGGCCAATGCCCAACACACACACACACACACACACACACTCTCACACGCTCTCTAATTCTTAACAGCTACAATAAAACCCAGGCTTTGAGCAAAAACAGAGCTGTTGTTTCACAAATCTTCCTACATATTCTATTTTTGCTTTAATTTAAGACACTTTCAACTTGCACAAAATTCCTTCTGTAAAAACACATATTCAGTTGATCTCACTGTAAAGCAGTATGTTCTTTACAGGAATTTACAGTGTCTCCACTCCCATTGTATTTTGCTATCTCTGTATTTCACTGTTTAATGTCTTTTATGATTCCATCCTGCAGGCTGTAAAGTACAGGATTGCTGAGCCATCCAGTACCTTTTTTTCCGCAGTTCAAAGTCAACTGAGATAGGCTGTATCTCATACAGTACCATGATAATGCCCAACAATGGGGTACTGGTGTTTTCAAAGGGGCTATATCATCCTTCTGCTGAGGCATAAAACATAGTTTGCAGTCTGTAGACAGTTACTCGGTTTAACTGATAAATACAAACCTTTGCTTTAATTTTACAAGCTTACCCTGGCATATTTTAACAATTCCAGCTATGATGATGGCAATGAGAGCAGTAACTTTGGCGTAAGTAAATATATCCTGCACACGTGTTCCCCATTTAACATAGGCACAGTTTATAAATGTTAAAAGACCTAGGGGAGGAAAAAAGAAGACAAATTAAAAGACCATTTGAACAACGTTCAGTTTAATTAATTTTTCAAAGATTTTAATTGCAATCTAAATACACACTTACCTGTTATACAACTACTTAGGTTCAACTAAGCCAAATACACTAGTACTGAAAACACACTGGTTCAAACAAAACAGCAAGAAGCAGTTCTAAACACACTGTTTCAAAAGATGGAAGGAAAGATCTTCCCCTTCTCTGATTACGTGCCCATTTTCCTAATGTTACCCCTCATCAGCTGCACTCTGCAACTATCCTGAAATTAAAGAAACTGTTACATGAAATAATTCATTTCAATGTATCAATACTATTCTGATAAATGAAAGATTAGAAATTCCTTTAGGCAAACATATTAAAAGAGTGTTTGATAAGTTTTTTTATCCTTCCTTGCTAGGCTCAGGATGAGTTCAACATCCATGGAGCAGCTGCCACACCAAGTATGGTCCCAGGTGATTCAGTACCCCTCTCCAGTTCTATTGAACTGTATTTCAAAGAGAGAACAGGTCTGAGCAAGGAATGTACAAGGCCATGCACTGATAGGACAGGGGGTAACGCTCTAGGAAGGCAGGGAGATTAGATTAGATTAGATTAGATTAGATTAGATTAGGTATCAGGAAGAATTGTTCCCTGGGAGGGTGGGGAGGCCCTGGCACAGGGTGCCCAGAGAAGCTGTGGCTGCCCCATCCCTGCAAGTGTCCAAGGCCAGGTTGGATGGGGCTTGGAGCAACCTGGGCTGGTGGGAGGTGTCCCTGCCCAGGGCAGGGTGGGATGAGATGAGAGTCCCCTCCAACCCAACCCATTCCACGGTTCTAAGAGCATGTGCTTTAGTTAACACAACAGTCACCTGGAACTTCAAAACTGGTAGTAAGTCATGAGTATTCTGAGTATACTTCTCCCTCTACCCCAAAATAAGTTAGAGTCAGACCTGTTTCACAAGACTGCAATGAAATTTGAAATGAGACTTGCAGATCTCACCAATATTTTAGAGTTGCTGACTAAGCTTACGCACATGATCAGCTTCCCCAAGAATGTTTTCATGGCTCTCAACATTTTGCTTTTGCATTTCTTACCTTTTTTTTTTGAAGGGGAGTGCCAGACAACCTCTACCTTAACTGAAGGGCTGAATATTGAACAGGATTCAGTATCTTCAGTATTTATTTAACAAAATCCTAATTCAGTGCATATTTTTCTTAGATTATCACTACATTATTTAAACTTCTGTGTTGGAAACAATATTTCCCCCAAATCTCATATTTTCTCTAGGTAGTAAAAGAGTGGTCATATTCTACCATAGTTTTTATCTCCAATGAATTTTCTCATACTTAAAATATGCATATAAATAGACACTAAATTGGATTGTTTCAGGAGTAAGGTAGTAGCAAATAAAAATCAAATGAAAAGATGTGATACATTATTTCCTTTCTCAGAATCCAAGAATACTGTGATACTGTTAAGCTACCAAATTGAAAAGCATTGATTCTTCAGAGGTAACAAAAAGAAGGTAATGATCTCAAAAGCATGGCACTGGTATGTTAGACAGTCGGGCCAAGCAGAAGAGCTAAACGAGATTCTATTGAGTCCACTGAGCTTGGCAAGATGAGGGAGAAAAAACAGTTGTATCAAATTTCAAAAGCCAGGACTGCTGCAGCTCCCAAAGAGCCCTCAGGAAAACAACCAACTGCTCAGTCTCTGCTCCTCAGTTTTAGTGATCAGAGTATTTGCTTGAGGTTTATTTCAGCCTTTTTTTTCAAAGTAACTTTTATTAGGAGTAATTATTATTACTGAGTTAGGGCTTGGTCTCTACTTCAGATGAAATGCTACTCTGCCTCTGACACCTTAAAAAAAAAAGAAAGATAGATAATCAAGAATCTAATAAGCCACACCTCCTCTCTCTTTCTTTTACTGAAATTAATCTCTCATGCTTTCTTCAACTTCATTATTGTTTAGCTACTTAAAGTTCCTGAGAACTGTCAAGTTTTGGTTCTGCAGCACACAGGTTTTCTGTGCACACAACACCTCCACTTCTCAACACAGCTACAAACAGGTACTGTAGTACTGATGTTATGGTTCATCACAAGCATAATCTGGAATGAATGCTTTTTTGAAACCCTACCAGAGTAGTAAGTAGACTTGGTAAGATCTGTTTTATTAAAACTTACTGTGGATAAAACAATGCCCCCAGTGAACCCTGAGAAATACTCACATTCACAGGCAGCTGCTATGAGGCGACAGGCCAGATACGGAGGGTCACAGGAAGGGAAGAAGGGCTGAACTATGTAGTTAGCAAAGGTGATGGCTATAATTGCTTGGCTGGTTGGCTCAACAATGAGCAGTGAGGTCCACAAACGAATAAAAGCAATGAAGCTCCCAAAAGACTCCAAGATATATGCATAGCTGGCTCCTGACTTCGTAATGGTGGTTCCAAGTTCAGCATAGCAGAGAGCTCCGAAGACTGAAAATATCCCTCCCATTGCCCAAACTACCAGAGACAATCCATAAGATCTGCTGTAGATGAGAACTCCTTTGGGAGAGACAAAGATACCTGAACCAATCATGTTGCCTACAATAAGGCTTATCCCATTTAGCAAAGATATTTCTTTCTTCAGTTGCAAAGCATTTTCACTTCCATGCTGCGTGGTACTTGGATCTGTCCTTTCTGATTTACTGACAGGGCTGTATTCAGCCCCTGAAACGTGGGACTCTGTACCATCTGTCCTTTCTGCCATTGTGGACGGACTGGGAATTCTCCACGACTCCAATCACAATCTAAAACAAAATGAAACAGCTGAAATCATTTTTTTTTTTTATCCCAAGACTTTCTTGCAAAATCTTCTTTCCATCCTTTTGGACGCTGATTTACAAATACAAATTAAGAAATTGCCTTCATATTGTTTTTTACACAAATTCATGCACAGTTAAACAGGAAAACCAACTCACAACAGAGAAAGAGACAAATTCCAATACAACTTCAGAGGAGAGAGGGTTCTTACCTCTAGGAAAACAAACAAACAAAACCGTAGGACAGATGGAATTCAGGGACTCCAGTTTTGAGCAAAACAGAAGAAAGAACAGAGAGAAGCACAGTGAGATGACACAGAAAAGCAAGCACTGCAGGACCAAGATGAAGTTGTAAGCATGAAGCCAGAGGTACTGCAATACCAAACACATAATTTGGGAGTGCTCCACTCCAGGGCTGCATGTTACTCATGCAGGGAGGGCAGAGGCACTTACTCCAGAATCCCCGGGATCCAGCTCTACACTTCTCACCAACACTGTGGGTCACTCCCTCCCCAGAACTATTTCCAGATCTCACTGCCTTCTTTCTTGGAGAAGAAGAAAGTTATCTAAGAGTGCAGGCTCTACATGAAAAAACCCAGAGTAGCTTCAATCCAAATTCCTCCATTAGCAGCTATACTGAACAGTATCTAAGAACACAGAAATCAAATAATCTCTCTCCTCTGCTTCAGAACTGACAATTTGGAAAAGAGCCACCTTCTTTCAAGTCTCAGAAAATTCTCCCATGCCTTCCAAAAGCAAATTACTGCTAAGATTTCTTAGCACAAGAATATACTGATAATTCTGAATAATGTCCATTTTATAGAAGTTCAAGTAAGAAATAATCTATTCCAGGAACAATCTTGTATGAAGAAATGAACATTTGATTACTAGTTTATCAGCTGCATAAAGAGTAGGCCCTACATAATTACCAAAATTAATTTCATGACCATTCATTTACCCTGGGCCTCACCAAACCCTCAGTGTATACTTCAGTCAATAACTATAGAACAGAAAAAACGAAGTTGAGGTCAATTAGAATAAAGTAGGGGAGGGAGGGATGAATTTGTGCTTTTCTGGGGTAACACTAATTTTACCAAAGGTTTTGTTACTGCAACAATAGACTTGTCAGCTGAGAGAACCGAACCCCTGAATATGGGGATTTTGAAAGGTCAGCATGCAGCCACCCAAACTAGATGTATATCCGTGCATCTACTAACACAGGAACATACAAAGTCTTCCCTTCACTTAGAGGGACACACCTGTCTGGAGGGAATATTATTCCTTTATCATAAAGCCAACACCTGTATACTACAGTACAGAAAATCTGACTTGACATCCCTAAACCAGAATAGTTTTAAAGATGTGAAAATGATAAAGATTATTTTCAATCAAGTAACAAAAAGTAACTTCTACTGAAATGGAGTACGAATCGTTTATTGAAACGTTACATCATTCATCTCCAACTCATGAATCCTTAGGGATAGTGTTCTTTTAAAGAATGCAAAATGAGATCCTCAATCTGTTTAGTTGGATGCCTTCGGATTTATTTTCCCCTCAGTACTCCAAAGAAACACTTTAAAGATGGTTAATTATTAAATACATATTTTATCATTTATACATGAGTCAACATCTTATCTGGTGTCATACATACATCAGAAGCCATCAAATTTCACACTTACAATTAGACTAAAAATTTTCAACCTTCCAGAAACTGATCTCTGCTATTTCAGAACTTAAAAGCTTGAGTGTTATAATGAGGCACATCCAACAAAATAAAACTAACCACACAGTTTCTACAGATGAGTGTGCCCAAAACTGCAAAAGAAAAGGAAAGCATATTTACCTCGACAGTTGTTACCTCTTCTCCTTGTTATTTGCTCTTCCATCTATCTTGTGCCAAATTCATTTGCAATCACATACTGGCTGACTTTCTGTTATTGGTGTAGTAGAGTTAAGTCTTCAAAAAGACATGTGGCCTACGAGCTCACAAGATTATCTGGTTTGCTTTACAACAGAAAGATCAGTTATTACTCTGTAAATGAATATAATTATTATAATAATTGTAAATACGATGCAATCATCTGAAAGCTGTGTAAAACAGCAGAACAAACAGTCAAAGCAGATGTTTTCATTACTAATTTGGCTGTAAAAAGTGGATTTAAGGGAACACTTGTGACCCATAAAAGTAACATTTAATTCCAAATTGAGTCTTCTCATGTCTACAAAATGAACTCAGACAGAATATTAGTTGCAAATGTATTTCACAAGGCAAGTCATCCTGAACAAACGTCAGTGGAAAAATCAAGAATACTACAGCTATTATTACAACATCCAACTGCCAGCCTGGAAATATGCCATGTTCATTTTCAGCCTTTCCAGCTAAAGGATAAAACTCCGTAAATATGAAGAATTCATCACAAACGTAAAACATCATTTTGGTGATAACTACACATGATTTTCACTCCATGTACCCTAATCATCACTCCCGTTTCTTCCTGGAACACCTTTCAAAGTACAGTTTGATAAGAAGCATACACTTTACTTTGAATACTCAGGCATTGTGATGGTTTGACTTGATTTAAATCAATTGAATAATTCAAATCACATCAAATCTGATGTGTTCACACACAGGCAGTTTTGCACTAAGAGTAACCGTGATTTACCTGATGGTCTGAAGCTCAGAGGTAAATTTAATTACCTGCAACTACCAGTGACTGTCACTGTTCAAATGCCTCCACCTCAATTAGCAGCACGTGACTGCAGTTCTATGCAGGTTTTTACTGGTGACCTTGACTGCTTCTTGCCCTAATCTGCTCTACCCAGGAAAGATCAATCACAAGATCAATCACTGTATCTCTCAGCCCAGCCTGTTTTGTCCCCCAATACTCTTTCTTCCTCTCCAAGTCTGCATTTGTTATTCCCAGCTTCAGGTATCTGCCGACAAGGATTTAAGGAAGGTGTGTGCAACAGCTCACTCCACATTTGGCATTTCTTTCTCTCCTCTACACTTGTTTGTTTTATACCCTTAGAGCCTTGAGGGCAGGAATTGCTTATTTGCCTGAGTCATGTGTCTTATTACACCACCTCTGTGACAGAAACAAAACTGTTGGCACTTCACTTAATCTTAAATGTAACTAAAATCTGCAGCTTTTACCAAATGGAAGAAAAAACTTAACAATGAAGAGGGAGAGCAGAGACTAGAAAACTGAAGCTATGTCAATATTAACAACACACAGAAAAAACACATATATTAAAATCCATGATTCTGTCACATGATCATTACTTCTGTGGTAATAGAAGATAGGTTTGGAAGAGGAGAACGAGAGATAAATAGTATATATTTTCTAACATACAATAATCCTGTAACACTGCATTTAAAAATACTATTAGAACAATCTCTAACGCTGCCAAAGCCTGGCCACAGGACTGCTGTGGCTAAGGCAGGGTTATGCTTTCACACAAGCTAACTAACACGGATTTCCTCATCGCTGGCCCTTGTGCAATACAAAGTCTTCCAACTCTTTTTTTCTTGCTGATCGTTGCAGCTCTGAGGAATCTTTTTGCTGATATGTGATTTTTTTTTTTACTGAAATGACTCTGCTGTTGATAGAATAGGCTTTGATATGAACCCAGGACAGAGTGACCTGAAACTAGGATCCCTTCAGTGCTTCACCAAAACTGTACATTCTGGTAAGGCCTATCCCACTTTGGCCAGGTACCAAAGGAGCTAATGAAGGTTAACATACATTTAGCAGAGAACTAACAGTGCATTACAGGGTGGCCCTCCTGTAAGGGAAGGGAAAGAGGAACCCTCCACCAAGATCCCCTTTCTCCCACTGAATAGGACAGTTGTCATGTGCTCAGCCTGGGGTGAACCTGCACCTGGGTTAATGGCCAAGGTGAAGTACCAAACTGCTGAAAGTTTACTATGTTTTGCTGCTTTCTTATACAGTACCTGCTCATCACCAAAGATTGCTACTGTTCTTGCCTGTCTTCCATAGTTGCCTTGGTTGCCTAACTCTGGCCATAACACAGCTTTACCCTATACTTGGACTATTCACACATAAATAAGTCACCAGATGTAAGACTCCTATTTCTGAACACAATGAATGGCCCTTCGAGTAAGAGTCAAGATTGCTCTATACAGGCAAACAGCATCAAAGTCTTCAGGGAGTTAAGCACCAACAGAGCAAAGGTTGTAAGTCCCAGAAATGCTTATTCATTGCAATGTATATATTTAGGCACCTCACAGTCTGAACATTTACATGGGAAAGGCTTAGAGTTTGTCCAGCACGTGTTTTCCTTTCTGCTGGTGAGAGAAGAATCACTTCCCTGCCATATATACATATGCTGAGCAGACAGGAAGCCCTTGAAACAAAAGCAATTCCCCGATGTAAAGATTATTCTCTTCAACCAAGTCTTTTGTGCTTGCATATGCAAACTCACCATCTTTAGGACTTTAAAAAAAAAAAACAAACATAAACCTTCAATCAAATAGAATTGGCTGTAACACCCATTTTTAAAAAACATGGCCAGGTATGTTTACCATGTAAAAAGGTATGAAAGAGAAGTTACTATGTCAATCAATCATTCACTTGACAGTTTATCAGTGATGGTAGTAAGTCCTGACCATACACACCTGTGACACAGCTGGAAAGAGATGTTCTGCAAATACACCTACTACCCACATGTTTGGACAAATCCTGAATAAGGCTGTGAACACTGAATCAGGGAAAGATTCAGCTCACAACAGATCACGACATCATATCATCAGCTCACAACAGATACTCAGTTACAACGTCTCAGAAACTTCCCAAAAATTCTTAAGTTACCAAACCTAGACAAACCCACATCATTAATAATAACCTAGATTTTAAACTCAGTCATATTAAAGAACTGTGCCAGCTCCAAGTGGAAAACAATTTGCCACTATATTCTTCATACTTCTAATTTATTTTTATATTTCCAAGGGAAAAAACAGAAGCAAGCTCACAGCATGGACTTTGTGGTGACAGTGCTGATTTAGCAAGAGGTGTGGTTGGGAGTGCAAGAAGCAACTGCAAGGAGTGGAACATCTGGTGAAATTTGTAGCATAAGGCTCAGGTAAAGACAGAAGGGTCTGTTCAATAACTGACCTTGTTTTTTATACTGGGGCAGAAAAGTGAAAACCTCCCAAAAAGGGGGAGAGTAACGCCAAACGGCACACTCTACCTGCAGATCTACACCCACGTGTACTCTCAGGCACAACCTACGGTCACGCCTAAACAGACTGTACTCAATACATGACACTTAAAAACACATAAGCAATGAAAATCAGTACCAAGCGCCAGTGAGCCGAGGCACTCCGGTCTGAGGGTCTCACCCTGAGGGACCCCCTGCGAGGCGTTACCGGAGCGGTTACAACCGCCCGCAGGTACAACCGCCCGCAGGTACAACCGCCCGCAGGTACAACCGCCCGCAGGTACAACCGCCCGCAGGTACCACCGCCCGCAGGTACCACCGCCCGCACCCACCGCCCCGGGCACCGGCAGGACCCTCGCACCGCCCGCTGCCAAACCAAATAAACCCCTGGGCTCGGGACGGGCGCCCCGGGCTGTCGGGGAGGGGACCTGAGGGGGTCCGGCCGCCGGAGGGGGGCCCGGGTGTCATCTCGCCCCTCGAGGGGCGAGGTTCAGACGGACTGCCAGCGTCACGGCAGCCCAGGAAGGAAGCTGGGCAGGCTCCCGCCTCAGCCGGGGACTGTCAGGGCTGGGGCACTCACATGTGCTGCCGCTGAATCATTCCTTAAAAACAACCCACGGCGTTAATCGCGCTTCCTTCCCGTACAGCCGCAGCCCCCGGGGCGCCGAGGCCGCCAGCCCTGGATGCTGCAGGAGAGGCGCCGCCGGAAACCCCCGCGCCGAGCGCCGCCAGCCCCCCCTCAGGGCGGGGGGAGCCCGGGACGCCTCCGCAGCCCCCCCGGCCGTGTGGGCGCGGGCCCCGCGTTACCTCCGCTCCCGCCGCGGCCGTTTGGGGGATGCTCGCCCGTTGCCACACGTGTGATGGCGGCCGCGCCGCCCCGCCCCGCCGCCCCGCCACCGCCTCCGTCGCCTCCCCGCCCCTATCTCCCGCTCTGTCAGAGGGGGAAGCCGCGGCGGAGGCGGGAGGTGTCGGCAGGGCCCGAGCTGCCCTCCGCTACCGGCGGGTGAGGAGAGCGGCGAGCGCTTCCCCCGGAGCGGGGGACCAGCCGCCCGCCTTCCCTCAGGGGCAGGATGGAGAGCGGCCGTAGCGCTGACGGTACGAACGCGGAGCCTGGTCCCGGCCCGGGCCCTCGGGGGCACTCCTGAGACCCGGGGGACGGCACTGCACAGAGTTAAACCCGCACGAGTCACACCTGAGGGACCCTCAGGCTCGGGGCTGAGGGCCCAAGAGGGTCGAAACGGTGAAATGTGGTGATATTTTGGGTTGCCGCTGCATAGGTGATAAGCGCCAGTCATAGCTGACGTAGAAATGAAAAGGGAACCCTTAAAATACTCCCATTAGTGTGTTTCGGCCCTCAGGAGAGGCACAGCTACGCCCGAAATTTGGCTCTGTTAAAATACGGTCTCCCAAAATCACGATTTAAAACGGCCCGTGGTGTCTGAAAATAATGATGAGCAATTTGCCGTTCAGCAGATTTATCTTGGTAGTGTAATTAAGGCTTTCTTGTCGTCCTCTAGCACGTTAATAGTTTTCCCAAGTCTAAGGCAGTGAACCCCAGGCAACAGCCCCCTCTTAATGTTCTTTTATTGCCCTTTTTGCTGTTACCTGCGAGGCAGAGGGCTCAGGATACATCAGTCTTTGTCTTGCTCTAAACA